TTTTTCCAGTCAACATTCAAGAGCAAGTTGTTCAGTTTCCATGAAGCTGTGCGGTTTTGAGTTAGTTTTTGAATTCTGAGTTCTAACTTGATTGCACTGTGGTCTGAGAGACCACAGTGTTTGTTTTGATTTCCGTTCTTTAGCATTTGCTGAGGAGTGATTTACTCCCGATTATGTGGTCAATTTTGGAGTCGGTGTGATGTGGTGCTGAGAAAAATGTATATTCTGTGGATTTGGGGTGGAGAGTTCTGTAAATGTCTATTAGGTTTGCTTGGTCCAGGTCTGAGTTCAAGTCCTGGATATCCTTGTTGATTTTCTGTCTGTTTGATCTGTCTAATATTGACAATGGGGTGTTAGGAGAAAATGAGGTTTTGAAACAAGGTTCTGATAAACTCTATCTGTGGCCCTTAGGTCACGTGATCATTGTGTACTGACCCTGAAAGCGATGTTTTTCAGGGTTGAGAAGAATTGCCCTCCTGATTTTGAGAGCTGGAGAAGACAGTTAAGATGCTCTAGTCCAGCGTGGGGCCTGGGCTTCATCCAGCAGGTACTTCTCAGAGCCTGGGGAAGACTGTTCGGAGCCATGTGAACAGAACAGCTCTCAGTGGGTTTAGCATGCCAGAGCCCTTCAGCTGTTCATGGGGTCTATCTGAGGTGGGCCGAGCAGTGAGCGTGCGTGGGAGCATCCTTCTCAGATCGGCTCCAGGGCACTCATTTCAGAGGAGATACTGAAAACAGTTCAGACCATTTGCAAGTTAACAGACCGGACCTGAGGACTTGTGTTTTCTCCACCCTTTTTAAGGACATTTTATATAACATCATCTGAATGGCAGTGAGTGGCGGTGATCATGACACTGAAATATGAGTTATGAGGCCCGTGGTGCACCAGGCGCTGCTCCAGGTCATGACACCCATCACCCCTCCAGCGTTCACTGTGCGCTTTTATAGGAGGAAACCGAGCCCCGGAAAAGTCTGAGGGTCCTGTGACCAGTGTATGGCAGAGCAGGGATTTGAACCCAGGCACACCCGGGGACTGCTTGAAACCCAGTATTATCCGTAAATAACTTTGCACAGTCCTCGGAGCACCAAGATGGTGCTCTTTTATTGGGGTCTGGAAGTTCAGTGCTGTAACAAAGTGTATCCCAGTGGAATGACTTAAGTATGTTTTATCCTGTGATGTCTGAATTGTGTGACTGATCAGGACTGCTGTAAAAGTGTGTGTCTTGCTCGTGGGGTACCCACAGGAGGAGCATAGGATCTTCTGTTCCTGCCAGCAGCACTCCTGCCTCCTGTTCACAGCCGGACCGCTCTGGCTTTAGTTTCGTTTTCTTTCCTCCTATACTGTCAGTGGATGTTACCTTGCTATGTTTATGCGTCCTTTAAATGCATTAAGAATAAGGTACAGAATTAAAAGAAATGTTTTGTATTATATTGTTTGCGTGCCTGGGGGAGTGATGTTCCCTTGCTTCTGTTTAGTCAACATAATGTGAATGATCTTTTTTTTCTTTAGATTGAAGATGGATACCTGACAATCCCAGGGATCACTTCACGGACATCATTTTCGTGGACAAGATTGTGTAGGGCCCAGGCTGTGTTGGCCCCAGGACTCCTTCAGAATACAGCTGAGGACGATGAATCCTGCGAGCAACGGGGGCACATCAGAGAGCATTTTTGACTTGGACTATGCCTCCTGGGGGATCCGCTCCACGCTGGTGGTTGCTGGTTTTGTCTTCTACCTGGGCGTCTTTGTGGTCTGCCACCAGCTGTCGTCCTCCCTGAATGCCACGTACCGTTCTCTGGTGGCCAGAGAGAAGGTCTTCTGGGACCTGGCGGCCACGCGTGCAGTCTTTGGTGTTCAGAGCACGGCTGCAGGCCTGTGGGCCCTGCTGGGGGACCCTGTGCTTCATGCCGACAAGGCACGTGGCCAGCAGAACTGGTGCTGGTTTCACATCACAACAGCAACGGGCTTCTTTTTCTTTGAAAATGTCGCAGTCCACCTGTCCAGTTTGGCCTTCCGAACATTTGACCTGTTTCTGGTTGTCCACCATCTCTTTGCCTTTCTCGGGTTTCTCGGCTGCTCAGTCAATCTCCAAGCTGGCCACTATCTGGCTATGACCACGTTGCTCCTGGAGATGAGCACTCCCTTTACCTGCATTTCCTGGATGCTCTTAAAGGTAAGCGTTTCATGTGCTGCTTTTGCATACATCAGCAGCAGATGACATGTACCTCACACATTTAATTACTGGTTAGAATGTCGTGGACAGTGCCATAAACTCATCAGCAGATTGGATTGCAGCATACACATTCAGTTATAAACTCATTTTAGTTGAATGCAATTTTCTTAATTTTAAATCATGTAGGCTTTCTGCTTCTTAAGGAAAGAAAGCTCCATTGATCTTATGACTCAGTAGATAGTGTCTGCAAGCACTTACTTTTTTTCTTTCTTTTAATACTTTTTTTTTTTTCACATTTTTATTTATTTATTTTTAAGACAGAGTCTCACTCTGTCATCCAGGCTGGAGTGCAATGGCGTGGTATCGGCTCACTGCAACCTCCGCCTCCAGGGTTCAAGTTCTCCTGCCTCAGCCTCCCGAGCGGGTAGGACTACAGGCGAGCACCGCCAACCCTGGCTAATTTTTTTGTATTTTTAGTAGTGACAGGGTTTGACTATGTTGGCTAGGCTGGTCTCGAACTCCCGACCTTGTGATCTGCCCTCCTCAGCCTCCCAAAGTGCTGAGATTACAATTGTGAGCCACCGCGCCCAGCTTCTTTCAATACTTTAAAAAAACTGAAGTAATATGTGCTCACACAGCCCATATCTTGCTTGCTTTTTGTTTTGAATTAGGTGGTTTTACTAGTGATCAGAAGTACTGGGACCTAGCATAGTTATTTGCCTAACACTTTCTTTCTGTTTTTAAAGAACATGTTTTTCACTTGATTGTCATTTTGATGTCAAAATGTTCTTTATGTTAAACTCTTTTTTTAAATTGTTTTTACGTAGATTCCTGCTATGTTTTATGACTCATCACGTTGTTTATGGGATACTTTATATAAAATTTCAAATGTTCAACCATTCACACGAATGGGTCACGTTATTGCACAATTCTTGTGTACAGGACACTGGTAGCCTTGAGAGGAAAAATAAGCATAACAAATCACTCCTGCCTTTGGGTTTAGGTGGGTAGATGGTATCAGTCCGTCAAAAGAGCACTACGGTGTACACAGTACAGACTTTTGGTGTGTAACCACCATAGACACCAGCCTGGTGGTGGATAGTGTGAACACCATGGACCCCAGCCGGGTGTCAGATACTGTGCTGGCACCTGAACACTCAAGGAGGAACTCATGTTCCTGCTGTCCCCTGAGGTTGGCCCCATCTGGCGCCACATGGGCTGTGTGAGCACGGTGACAGGAAATCCCCAGATGGGGACCCCGTGCAGGAGGAGCAGGTGGGCACATCCGTGTTGGGCCAAGTAAATGAGGACGGGTGAGGCATGGTCATCAGCAGCGCAGAGCCTCACAGAGTGGCCATGGAAGTAGATGGAGCCACAGGGGGCAATACTGGAGGCCTCCTTGGGAGTGTGTGGTTTGGGTGGTGGCCGGAGGAGTTTGGGGGCAGGTGTCATTTGGGTAGACCTTACCAGGGAAGAAGGTTGGAACCATGAATGGTTTGAAAGAGCCCCTCCAGTGGCCTAGCTACTGAGTTCCCTTGCTGAGCAAATGACTGAATGTGAAGCTGCTGGTCCAAGTGTGGGGTCATTTTAGGACAGATGCTGTGACCTGAGACCCCATCAGCATCTTTGTGGATGTTATTTCCGTAAGAGTTTAGGCTTCTGGGGATGCAGCGCAGGGCTGTGATCCCCAGGTTTCTCTGGCGTGCGATCAGTGTGGAGTAGAGAGGTGTGTGCTGGTGGAAGAGGCTGTGGCCTGCGCTTCGCATTGCCTGCTCCTCCCACCTGGAAACACCGGGCTTCAGGACTCACTCAGCTGTGGCAGAAATGATAGCTCTTGAAAGGAAAGCACAAGTGCTCACTCATATCGATGCCCTAAAAAAGGTGGTAAGTAGTGACTAAATAAACTATTAATACGTCCTATCAGGTTGTGTGCTTGGGATCATTAGTGTGTTTGGAGAAATAGGTTAACAGTTACCTTGTATTTTTATTTTTTTATTACAAGTTCTTTAAAAAAAGTAAAAGGAAAGGAAAGAAATGAGTCCTTCTGTCTCTCCAGTCCTCAGGGGAAAGCAGTGTTGGATTTCTCAAGGGTTTTATCTGAGCCTCTCCTGGAGCCGGGCGTGGGGACAGCGCCTCCTGCAGGATTTGCTGACACAGGTGCCTCCAGCAGTTCTTCCTCCCCAGGTGTGGTGGAGCCTGGCCTCCAGGAGGATAGACTCAGAGAGCAAAGCTTGATTTCGGAATTTGCACATTCTCTAAAGGTTTTAGGTTGCTGTTTGCGTAGAAGGAATAAAGGGTTATTTAAGTATTTACTCCTAACCCTGCTCATGTCAACTGCATAAAGCCAACAGATCCCCATAACAGAAAATTATAACCTAAATTAATGTAGCTCAGGGCCAGTATGTCTAGATAGTTCTGTTTTGTACTGGTTGAAATACTGCTAAATGCTGGAAGAAAACCCTGTGTCTAAAACATTGAAATTCTTATAAAGCTGATAGATTCTTGTTTGGTAGGGCATGAGGATTCAGCATTTCTCTCCCATCAAGGTCTAATTTGATCAGAACTAAAGGATATAAAGACAATATATCACCATCAATTTAGGCTGGGTGTCTCAGTCAAGCACAGTGACTTGTTCTTCGTATTTCCATCTTGGATTTGATTCTGAAATGTTTAGAATTAATAAATGAATGACATAGGACTCAAACATCTAAATATAATTTATCCACAGACTCACTATTCCATAATATAAATGAGGTGATACAAAAACACTGTCAGGCCAGGTGTGGTGGCTCACACCTGTAATCCCAGCACTTTGGGAGGCCAAGGCTGGCAGATCACCTGAGCCCAGGAGCTCAAGACCAGCAACATGGCAAAACTTCATCTCTACAAAAAATACGAAAATTAACTAGGCATAGTGGCACACATCTGTAGTACCAGCCACTTGGGAGCCTGAGGTGGGAGGATCACCTGAGCCTGGGAGTTCAGGGTTACAGTGAGCTTTGATTACACCACTGCACTCTGGCCTGGGCAAGAGTGAGACGCTATGTCAAAAAAAAAAACCACAAAAAAGACACACACAAAAACAAACAAGCAAAAACCACTGTCAGTTTTTATATATTTTATATATACACGTGTGTGTTTATATATATACCTATGTATACAGTCGACCTTCTGTATCCATGAGTTCTGTGTCCATGGATTCAACCAACTGTGGATCAGAAATATTTGAGAGAAATCTAAAATAACAATACAATAAAAAATATCACAAATCTATACCAATACAGTGTAACAACTTTATATGGCATTTACATTATATTAGGTATTATAAGTAATCTACAGATGATTTAAAGTGTAAAGGAGAGTATGCTTAGGTTATATGCACATACAAAGCCATTTTATATAAAGGACTTGAACATCCTTGGATTTGGGTATCTACAGGAAGCCCAGGAACCAGTCCCCCTAAGGATATTGAGGGCAACTATATATTTATTGAAATTCTTTTAAAGCTGCTAGATTTAAATTCTTTTAAAGCTGATAGATTCTGCCAGGCTCCAGAGCTTTGCATGTGTTATGTCACGGATTTTGTTCCTATAGATTTTGCTACTTTTCTCAAAGCCTTTGGTGACTGACCACCAAAATTTTAGTGCCTTAGTAAACCCAAAGAATTCTCAGTTCTCAAGTTTTGAGTTTTCTAAACTTAAGGTATTGATAGTATTCTGATGTTACTATTGAGAATTTAAGATAACTGACTGGGCGCGGAGGTTCACGCCTATAATCCCAGCACTTTTGGAGGCTGAGGTGGCAGATCATTTGAGGTCAGGAGTTTGAGACCAGCCTGACCAACATAGTGAAACCCCATCTCTACTAAAAACACAAAAAAATTAGCCAGGGATGGTGGTACATGCCTGTAGTCCCAGCTACCCCCAACCTGGGAGGTGAAGGTTGCAATGAGCTAAGATCACACCACTGCACTCCAGGCTGGGCAACAGAGCGCAGAGTGGTTGTCTCAAAAAACAAACAAAAACAAGATGACTAGTTTCAGTAAGTGAGGAAAGTGGTGGAGGAGAGCTTTTTGTGAATTGTGAGGGAATGGCCTAGTGAATGAAGACTGAGCTCGCGAGAGCCCAGGGCTGAGCGTATGGTATACTCTACGGTTTATCACTGTGTGGGGCCCTCTAGCTAGCGCAGAGGATTCTGACGTTCAGAACATCGACTCTTCAGTGTTTTGTCTTCAGACACACAGTCTTTTCACTCCTGTTGATACTGTACGCTCTACCAGGCCCTGTGCCAGGCACCGGGTCACAACAAAGATGATTCACAGTTTTCTGTAAGCGAGAATCTGTGGGAGGCACATGTGCACGTGGTAGTGCTCCAGCACACACTACAGAAGATTCTGGAAGCTGGAAGCTGGAATCTGTGAGGGGCACACATGTGGGTGGTGGTGCTCCAGCACACACATGACAGAATATTCTGGAACCTGGAATCTTTGGGGGGGCACACATGTAGCTGGTGGTGTTCCAGCACACGATAGAAGATTGAAGCTGGAATCTGTGAGGGGCACACCTGTGTAGTGGTGCTCCAGCACACACATGATGACAAAAGATTTTGGAAGCTGGAATATGTGAGGGGCATATTTGTGTGTGGCTCCTTCTGTACACACAGAAGGTTCTGGAAGCTGGAATCTGTGAGGGGCAGCTATATGTGTGGTCATGCTCCAGTATACCTGTGATGACAGAGGTTCTGGAAGGTAAAAATTTGTGAGGATTGGATACCCACGTGGCCTCGCTCCAGTACACATACGTAATGACAGAAGGTTCTAGAAGGTGAACTCTGTGAGAGGCTGTTGTGAACGTGACCCTGCTCCAGTAAACACATGTGATGACAGAAGATTCTAGAAGGTGAAATCTGTGAGAGTTGGATATGCATGTGTCCCTGCTCCATTATACATACATGTGATGACAGAAGGTTCGGGAAAGTGAAATCTATGAGGGGCAGATGTGTGTTTGTGGCCCTGCCCCAGTACACACACACATAACAGAAAGTTCTGGAAGGTGAACTCTGAGGGGCTGATGTGCATGTAGCCCTGCTCCGGTATACATACATGTGATGACAGAAGGTTCTGGAAGGTGAAATCTGTGAGGGGCAGATTTATGTGTGGCCCTGCTCCAGTACACATATATGTGATGACAGAAGGTTCTAGAATATGGACTCTGTGAGGGGCACACACTTGTGCAGCCATGCTGCAGTTCCACTATGTGGCAGAAGGAGCATTGTCTTTCCTTTGGTTTTTCTCAGCCATTTGTTTACTTGGTAAATGCTTGAGTGCCTTCAGTTTGATAACAGTATGCGAGACTTCCGGTGTCCATGCAGCCCCATGCATAGGTCTGTGCCCCAGTACTCAAACAGGTACTGGGATTGTCTTAGCCACACTGTTCATTTGGCCTCATACTGAATCCTACTGAAGTCCCATCATCAGTGGAAAGGGCTCGTGAGCTGGGTTTGTCCACGCAGCAGAGGGGTGGGGAGCAATCTGGATGGTTTACACGGCCATAGTGAGAGACATTAGCCAGACCCAAAAGAGGACACGGCATGTGATTCTGTTCTGTGTACAGTCCTTAACAACGGGGCATGTTCTGAGAAAAGTGTCCTTCGGCTATTTCGTCATGGGGCAACCATCCTAGAGTGCCATTCCGCATGCCGAGGCTACTCCGTGCCTTGGCTCTATGCGCCAGAGCCCATTGCTCCCAGGCTGCACGCCTGTGCAGCACATGGCCCTACCGAATACTGGAGGCAAGTGTAACACAGTTGTAAATATTTGTTCATCTAAACACCTAAACATAGGAAGGTGTAGTAAAAATGCCGTGTTAAAGGTGAAAAATGGTGCACCTGTGCAGGCCATTAACTAGGAACAGAGTTTGCCGGACTGGAAGCAGCTCTGGGCCAGTCAGAATGAGTGGCGAGTGTGAGGGCCTAGAACATCACTGTACACTCCTGTGTCCTTTATGAACACTGTGTACTTAAGCTGTGCTGAATTTATTTATTTATTTATTTATTTATTTATTTATTTATTTATTTTGAGACAGAGTCTTGCTCTGTCGCCAGGCTGGAGTGCAGTGGCACAATCTCGGCTGACTGCAACCTCCACCTCCTGGGTTCAAGCGATTCTTCTGCCTCAGCCTCCTGAGTAGCTGGGACCACAGGCTCGTGCCACCACGCCCGGCTAATTTTTGTATTTTTAGTAAAGGCGGGGTTTCACTGTGTTGGCCAGGATGGTCTCGATCCCTTGACTTCATGATCCGCCCACCTCGGCCTCCCAAAGTGCTGGGATTACAGGTGAATTTATTTTAAACATTTCTTTCTTTAATCATAAATTAACCTTAACTTACTGTAACTTATTTTATAAATTTTAATTTTTTTAAACTTTTCCACTCTTATAATAACACACAGCTTAAAACACAAATACATCGTATGTATATTTTCTTTATACCTTTGTTCCATAAGCTGTTCTTAATTTTTAAAACTTTTTTTTAATTGTTGAACTCTAAGACACAAATATACGTTCACCTAGCCCACCTGGTGCTGCCACTGTGGGTCTGCAGGAGCTGTGAGATTGAAAACTTGCTTGCGCCAAAGTCCAACATTGTCCTTCACCACCTTTGGAACTGGTGGTTGTGGCCAGTTATCAGAGTGACTACACTGTTTACCACCCAGACAAGGATGTCAGGGACTGCCCCAGGCCAACCAGGATCTGCAGTCACCCCAGGAGCTGGGAACCAGTTATATTTGTGACTTTTGCTTTAGACATATCAAGAACTTCGAGAACTTGTAGCCTAACTCTATAATTTCACAAGTAAGAAATAATAGTATTAACTCTTCACATTTTGTTTCAATCCATGTCACTTAACCATCCAGAACTGACAACCACGGGTTCTTCTGGTCTGCGTGAGTTTCTCCCCTGTCCCCTTCAGTTTGTAGGCTCCAGGCTTGTTTGGGATTGGTGCTTCCTCTGTTCTTCTTTCTGAGTGGTCATTGTGCCTCAGCAATGCTGAGCGTGAGGGAAGTGTGTGGTCCCAACCCACCTTGAGGTGGCCCCAATCACAGGTGGGAGTGTTTCATTTGCATCTGGAGTTGGGGTGAACTAAGTGCTTGGCATGTCATGTTTGTGGAAAGCCGCGCCGGGGTCTCTGAATTGGTGTGTGTGCATGAGGGTGCTGTGACGTGCACGTGGGAGCCCTGGGGTCCCCTCTGAGACCTGGGAAAGACTCCCGTGACAGTTAGAGAAGCCACGCGGCACGACTCTTCTACTGGCCTTTCTCGTCTAATTTTCCTCACACTGATTTTTTCTGTCCAGACGTCGACGCTCCTTGACTCAGGATGGGGCTACAGCCCAATAAGCCCATCATAAGTTAAAAATATCCTGTCAGAAATGTGTTTAATACAAGCAGCCTCCTGAACACCATGGTGAAGCCTGGCCTGCCTTGAACATGCCCAGAAGACTTGCATCAGCCTAAGGTTGGGCAAAATCATATAGCACAAGCCTATTTTACGACAAAATATGGAACATCTCATGTAATTCTGTGAATGCCATACTGAAAGTTGAAACGATGGTTACGTGGGTACTGGAAGTATGGTTTCCACTGAATGCGTACCACGTTTGCACCATCCTAAAGTCAAACACTTGTAAGTCAAACCATTGTGAGTAGCGGACTGTCTATAAGAGCCAATATACCCGAGCTTTAAATATTTAAAATACCAGAAAAACACATTAGAGTTTTTTTTTTTTGAGCCAGAGTCTCACTCTTTCTCCAGTCTAGAGTGCAGTGGTGCGATCTCAGCTCACTGCAACCTCTGCCTCCTGTGATCAAGTGATTCTCATTACTCAGCCTCCCAGATAGCTGGGATTACATGGTTGCCACCATGCCTGGCTAATTATTTTTGTATTTTTATTAGAAATGGGGTTTGCTGTGTTGGCCAGGCTGGTCTCAAACTTCTGACCTCAAGTGAACTACCCGCTTCGGCCTGCCAAACTGCTGGGATTATAGGCGTAAACCACTGTACCTGGCCCAAGTTAGAATATTTTGCTGGGGAGGAGCTGTACTGTCCTAGCTCAGGCTGCCACAGCAAACTGCCATAGCCCAGGCAGTCTGAACAGCAGGAATTCCTTTCTCACAGTTCCGGAGACTGCAAGTCCTCACACGGAGGAGGGGAAGGAAGGCTGTGATCTCTTCCTCTTCTTATGACACTGATCCCATCCTGGGGCCCTACCCTCATGACCTCATCCCACCCTCATCACTTCCCAAAGGCGCCACCTCTGGGTACCATCACATTGGGAGTTAGGGTTTCATCATATGAATTTCGAGACACACATCCAGTGAGTAACAAGTATTACACTGCTGGTAAAAGAAAATGGTATGGGTATGTCTGATCTAACAGTGGGAGACAATTCAAATTTTTTTATGAAGTTGTTTTCAGACAAATTCAGTATTTCAAACAACAAAGTCCTTGTTTTTCTTTCCGATACATTTGTAAGGCAACCTCTTAAGTCATTGATTCTACTGTGTGTGTGTGTGTGTGTGTGTGTGTGTGTGTGTGTGTGTGTGTGAACTGTGTGAACATGCTTTTGTAACTTAAAAGTGGACTTCCTTTTGATTTAGTGACCCTTAGAAGTTGGTAATGCCAGGTCCTCTTCAAAGTGTCACAGATGTAGATCTAGTAAAGTCAGCCCCTTTCCTGAGAACACCATGTGGTCTCTGCCTGGATATGGCAGCCCACCTCTTTGCTGGTCTGATCTCAGAGTGGTCCCTGCATTCCAGTGCCCCTCATCCCTAACAACTGTCTTCTGGGCATGAGTTTCTTCCTGGGCATGTTCTGGACTGTCCTGGTGCTGACGAGGCCTGCCTACCTGGTCCCTGCTACGTATCTATGGTCTGATGCTTATCATCCTCAAGTTAGTTCCATTCTTTGTTTTAGCTAGGACTGCTGGAAACGAGTTTTACTGCAAATTTAGCATATTTTAAGGCAAGCCCATTTTGGCCTTTGTTAAAGGACTAAACAAACCAGGAAACATTCTTTATCCTAAACTCACCTCTTCTAAGAGATTTTTCTCCCAGGGTCTAGATATAGGAGCTTGATGTACCTATGTCTGGTTTTGCTAAATAAGCACTGCTTATTAATATATGCAAATTCAAGATAAAACAGACTGAAGAGAGACCGAGAGAAAGGTTGAATTTATCATAGCTTTAGGGAGCAGAAGTCAAAGAGCGAGAGGTATAGAACAGCACGAGCAAGCAAGGGTCAGCCCTGCTGGCCTGTGTGCGCATGGAGCCGGTGGTCTTCTTCCAGGATGAAGCCCCAGTGAGAGCAGAGCTCTGGTGAGGAAATTCTGTTGCTTTGAAATGAATTTGTTTTGATGGTAAGTAAGGTAGCAAATACCTTTTTGTGGTGTGAAGAATGAACTCTGGCAGCGTTGTATTGATCTGTGCATTTTTTTTGTCTCTGTGCAGGCGGGCTGGTCTGATTCTCTGTTCTGGAAGCTCAACCAGTGGCTGATGATTCACATGTTTCACTGCCGCATGGTCCTGACCTACCACATGTGGTGGGTGTGCTTCTGGCATTGGGATGGCCTGGTCAGCAGCCTGTATCTGCCTCATTTGGCACTCTACCTTGTTGGACTGGCTCTGCTTACACTAATTATTAATCCATACTGGACCCATAAGAAGACTCAGCAGCTTCTCAATCCGGTGGACTGGAACTTTGCACAGCCAGAAGCCAAGAGCAGGCCGGAAGGCAACGGGCAGCTGCTGCGGAAGAAGAGACCGTAGCTGCTCCAGCCGGGGTTCCCGGGGCTCCTGGGGCTCCCAGGCCCCAGCCGGTCGGCACACAGATTCTGGGAAGTTTGGTGAATAGTGGCTTTTGAATTAATGAGGCAGTGAATGTTTTGTTTTTAATTCTAAGGGAAATACTAACTTTATTTCTCATTAGCATTAATTTTGAAGTAGCTACAAAGTCTTTTTAAGAAATAATAATTTTGCGACTGTCCTGACTGGTGCTGTAAGTTGAGCCTCTGGACCATGTCAGGCATTTAGGAGAGGAGTCCGTGGCATCCAGGCACCTGCTGAGGAGGGGGTGGCCTTGTCCGAATGCTGGAAATGGCTTCATAGTGAAGTGCCTCCCGCTGGGGGGGTGGGTCAGCGTTGATTTTCCAGCCACACACTCACATGCTGTGTGTCTTATCAGAAGTCACATTCTTTTCAGCTGGAGAGAATTGGGCTAAAATAGAAAATAATATGACTTGTTCCTTGTTAAAATTTCCCATGGTATGAAATTCTAGGCTGGGCACGGTGGCTCACACCCAAAGTAATCCCAGCACTTATGGAGGCTGAGGCAGGTGGGTCACTTGAGGCCAGCCTGACCCACATGATTAAACCCTGCCTCTACTAAAAATACAAAAGTTAGCTGGGTGTGGTGGTGCATGCCTACAATCCCAGCCACTCAGGAGGCTGAGGCAAGAGAATCGCTTGAACCCAGGAGGCGGAGATTGCAGTGAGCTGAGATCAAGCCATTGCACTTTAGCCTGGGAACAGGGCAAGACTCTCTCACAAAAAAAAAAAAAAAAAAAAAAAAAAAAAAAAATTCTAAACCTAGGTGTCTGGCAGTGCCATCTGGTGGCAAATGGTACAAAGACATCTCTGAGGGGTAGTGACTCCTGTAGCAGCAGAGACGCCTTGGAGTTTACCTGCCACCAACCAGCGTGTGGGGTGGTTAAGATGAAATCTTGCAAGTTTGTTTTTTTTTTAATCATGGAACCTGTTTTAAAATGAGAATTTACTATTCATACTATATTGCTCATTTGACAAAATGAGGTAGATATTTAGTAATCAGGTTGTCTGGGTTTTAGAGTTGTTTTTCATTGATGGAGTTACCTACAGGCACCCAATCCACACCCTAATTTTGTGGTTGGTGTTTCTCGCTAGCTTTGAAGGAAAGTAGTGATGTCATTTTCCCCCTGAGCTGCAAGGGTGGACCTGGACCCCTCAGATGCTCAGCTGTAGGGCCCTGGGGTCCCTCGAACGGTCCTGCTGCAGCCCCTGGCGATGAGCGCCTGATGACAAGTCCTAAGGTACGTTACTGTTTTATGCCCAGATAGAATTTATACACCAACTGAGCAATTTTGTTGACAGACATACAGAATTGTGTGGGTTTGTTTTTGTTTTTGTTTTAAATGTGCAATTAAAATTCAAAGTTTATTCTTTATCAAAAGCACCTTTGAAATGTGTATAGAAAAACATCGGCTGCTCATGAGAATCGTGTGACTTACGCTCCTCATGTATTGTGGAACTCTCGGAGCCGTGGTTTGTTTGTTTTGAGACGGAGTCTCGCTCTGGCTCCCAGGCTGGCATGCAGTGGTGCCATCTCAGCTCACTGCAACCTCCACCTCCTGATTTCCAGTGATTCTGCCACCTCAGCCTCCCAAGTAGCTGGGATTATAGGTATGTGGTACCACGCCCGGCTAATTTTTTGTATTTTTAGTAGAGATGGGGTTTCACCATGTTGGCCATGCTGGTCTCCAACTCCTGACCTCAAGTGATCTGCCCACCTTGGCCTCCCAAAGTGTTGGGGTTACAGGCGTGAGCCACCTCGCCTGGCCTGGAGCAGTGTCTTTTGATTGCTGATGCATTAACTTTATTGATCCAAGTGTATGGTAACCTATTTATCACGTTTTATGAAAAGATTTTAATCTTAAACTCATCCAGCAAATGGTGTCCCTGCTGAGACTTTTAACTGGAATCCCGGCACTTTGGCAGGCCATGCTGTCTGCATCCGTGCCCTTGTGGAGTAAGCAGGAGCTGGTGTTTTTCAGCCAGGCAGAGGCATAATAAAGTCACTGATGTTTACAGAACCCAAATGATGTCAAAATAACCTATTCATATTGCTGTGAATGTTTTATCTTGGAGATATAAAATATAACGATCAGCCTTCATGTGTTCAGATTTCAGTTTGGAGTTTGAAGTGTGTAGCCTCATTTGTATCTCACCCCCACTAGGACTTTGACCTTGCAGAGGTCCACGCGTTACCTCCTGTATCGTTATACACCCGTTGTTCAGATGCATAGAGATGGAGGCGCCTTAAAGAAGCACAACCTCCTGTATCGTTATACACCCGTTGTTCAGATGCATAGAGATGGAGGCGCCTTAGAGAAGCACAACCTCCTGTATCGTTATACACCCGTTGTTCAGATGCATAGAGGTGGAGGCGCCTTAGAGAAGCACAACCTCCTGTATCGTTATACACCCGTTGTTCAGATGCATAGAGGTGGCGGCGCCTTAGAGAAGCACAGGCTCGCCCACTCTGTCCAATGTCACACACACATTGTGCCAGGGATCCCTCAGTGCAGAGCCTGGAGTTGGGGGTTTTGGGGTGGCAAAGGCTTCGTGAACTGTTACCATCCGGTCCCCTTCCAGATTGCACAGCACTTTCCCTTGGCCTTCGCTGGCCTCAGTCTCCCCGACCGGCAGTGGGAGTGGAGGTATCCATAGTGGAGCGTGGTGCAAGTGACATTCATGAGCTCTGGCTTCTTGGTGCCAGGCTGGCGTGAGCCTGGGCCAGGCCCACTCAGTGGCCAATACTGGCCAGCATCCATCTGCATGTGTGTGCTGTGTGCCTCTCAATAGTTACAGCAAGTGTTAAACAGGGCGAGTTCACATAACAGTCAGGAATTCTAGAATTGCTTGAAAACTAGGAAGACTGGATAACATCGGCCTTACCTCTACCTGATGGCAGGTGACCCAGATGGAAATGGCCTTGCCTTTAGCTGGGATGTGGCTCTCCAGCGTGGCTTTGCTGTCATCACTCATCCTGCACTTTTTCTTTCGGTGGTGAAATACTTCTGCATACCTATGTTTTGTTTGTTTCTTAATGGGTGACTGAAGAGCCAAGGGCTGGTGCAGCCTCCTCGCCATGATGCAGGTGCCGGGCCGCACAGGCTGCAGCTTGTCTCGGTGTCCAGGCTCCTTGGGTCATGCTGGAGTTGTCATGGCGGCTGTTCGGTGTGAGTGTTTTTGCCAGGTATTGTGCTTAAGGGACATATTTCCCATTTTCTTTGCACTGACAACTTGAAATAGGCACTTGTGAATCCACTTCACAGCAGAGGAGCCTCAGGGCTCAGAGAGGTGGTGATGTGCCCAAGGAGATGCAGCTGGTGAGTGGCCGTGCCTGCGCCTGGGCACAGCCTCCAGCGCCAGAGCTGGGCTCTTCAGCGCAGCTTTCAGCACAGAAACTGGTGTTTCAGGCAGTGGGGCCGCTCTAACAAAACACCTGAGACTGGGTAAAATATAAAGAACAGACATTCAGGCCAGACATGGTGGCTCACTCCTGCTATCCCAGCACTTTGGGAGGCCGAGGCGGGGGGATCATTTGAGGTCAGGAGTTTGGGACCAGCCTGGCCAACACATGGTGAAACCCCCGTCTCTACTAAAAAAAAAAAAAAAAAAAAAAAAAAAAAAATTAGCCAGGAGTGGTGGTGCATGCCTGTAGTCCCAGCTACTTGGGAGGCTAAGGCAGGAGAATTGCTTGAACCTGGGAGGTGGAGGTGTGGGCAGATTAGTACCTGCTGGGAACCCTGCATCCTCACCCGGTAGAGGGAATTGAAGGTCAAGAGGCCTCAGCTAGTTCCCTGCTGCCTTTTTATGAGGCAGGAAGCCATTTGTAAGAGTAGGGGCCCTGCCTCTTAATACCTCCACAATGACAATGACAACGTCATGTGAATTCTGGAGGGGACACAGTCACACCACAGCACCCGGTGAATGTGATTCTCTCCTGTCAGAATTCTGTGAGCTTAATGAGGCCAGGGTTCCGTCTGTTTTATTTTCTGATTTATTCCAAGCCACGTGTGCCTGGCACAGGATGGTGGCAGGGCAGTGGGGAGTGGATGAACCTGGGGCTGCCAGGCAGGGCCCCACAGGGGACAGACCCAAGGGCTGATGCAGGGACGTCTGTTGAAGGGCATAGTTACCATGATAAGGGCAGGGCCGAGGGGCTGGGCAGCCAGCTTCACCCTCGCACGGGGTGCCTGGCAAGACCAGCGGCCAGAGGTGACGTCCTCAGTAGAGAACTATGGATACTGGAAACCGCATGGCCAGAAGGGGAAACAACGGGGCCTCCGGTGCAGACCAGCCTGGGTGGGGTCTGCCAGGGTCAGCTGCCTTTCCTTCATGCCGGGTCGAAGATGTTGTGTGTGTGTGTGTGTGTGTGTGTGTGTGTGACAAAGCATTGGATAGCACACCAAAAGCTTCCTCCATTGAGTGCGTGTGAAGTGTTTGACCGAGTCAGAAGCCTTCTTGTTCTGAGCGCATGTGCTCACGCATACAGAAGTGCGGGGGCCCCGTCGCTCTGCCCTCGCGCAGCTGAACTGCAAAGGCCTCCCGCGCGTCGGGCTGGTGTCAGGCGTGCGTCTGGGGCTCTGCTTCGTGCTCTATCCCACGGTGGCCCAGGCAGGTTGGGGTTAAACGGGTACCGGTCAGATGCACAGGTGCCCCACACCCCTGCTGTGGCTCCGGCAGTAAAGATAGGAGGTACCCATGTCACAAGAGGAACACAGGCAGGGGTGTTGGGGCAGCCCTCAGGGTCTCCGGACCCCCGCCCAACACCCACAGCAGCCCAGGAAGGAAGGGCAGAGTCCCAGGTGTCACCTGGCAGGGAGCTCCCAGGAGCTGCCCCTCTCTGAAGTCACGGGACAGGAATGACAGGTAGGGGACTGCCGGAAGCTGCCACCTCTGTGATCAGAGCATGCCCAGGCTGCAGGGGCTCCATCACAGGGTCTGCGAGAGCCAGCCTGGCTGCCTTGTGCTCACACCTGGCTTTGCTTTCTGCAGAACCCAGCACACGTGATTTGTGTGACACGCCGACAGCCAGGCTGCCAAGACAGGAGGCCTGCCCTGGAGGAGTGGCTGCAGGAGAGGGCGGGGTGGGCACCCGGGAGCCCGTCCAGCCTGGTCCCAGAGGCATCCCCGGCCCTGCCATCCTGATTTCAGCTCACCGCAGAGTAAATTAGAATAAACTGCACTCAGACGTTCACGAACACACGTCAACGCTTGCAGTTCACCTCTGTCTTTGCCAACTTCATCCCATTTTCTTCTAATGCGAGAGCTTGTTAATTCAATATTTGTGTTTTTGAATAACTTTTCCCCTTTTTAGTAACTAAAATCATTATTAGTAAAATGCATTTACTATTTTAGTAACAGAAATATACTTACTAATCACATTTAAAATACAGTGATGTGAAAAATTCAGACGTTTCTGTTTTCTTCTGGTGACTCAACCCCAAATGTCTGGAATTGACTCTGAGGTATCCAGGATCCGGAGCCAGCCGTCCAAGAGGGAAAAGAAACCACACCCTTCCTCTGGGAACCCGGCCAGGAACCCCAGAGCGCAGGCGCCTGGCCTCCGTGACACCTCATTTCCACATCTGCAGGCCCATGGTGTGAACTCATTTCTTTTCTCACTGGAGGTATTTTCCCTTCAGCGTTGCGCCGCTTCACACTTGGCAGCCTCAGTTAGCACTCCGCCCGCCTGAAGCCGTGTACATCCCGTGCCTGCAGA